CTAATTAGCTATATGCAGGCTCTCCTCTATTTTCAATTAACTCAATCATTCGATTGTGTACGTATATATTCATACATATTATTCACGCATACACATCCCGTGGAACTGTAACTGTGTAGCTCGCAGAGACACGCTTCTCGTTTGATTTTTCTCCCAAGCTGAGCTGTTCGTTGTGTACTTGAATTCGGTGCACTAGCTTCTTGTATGCAGCGGCACTTAATTCACACGAACGAATATGCTAAGTACGTAAACTGATTGGAAATCCGCGTATAATCGAAAACGCGTTGTTCGATGTATTCCCTACAAGACTATAATCGCGCAGTATAAGCGACGTTCGTCGAGGCACTCGCTCGACGGCCTCGTAAACACCGACTGAGGACGAGTCGTCCTGCCCGATTTCTGATCGCTGTACGCTCGCAACTGTTCTAGGAAAAATTCTAGGCCTGAACTTCTTAGAACTCGGGATATTTCTTGCGAGCCAAACATAAGAAACGCGAGCCTGGGTCGCTGTACGTACATCGAGCCAAACACAAGCTAGCTGTCTGTTCGCGCACAGAAAAGAGTTAGCGGGAAAAAATTTTTCTGATTTTATATTACTTTTATTGGCAAAACCGAGAACAATCGCCACGCATGTGGTCTTAATACAATACAATACGCCATACTTTTTTTCGCTCGGCGCATGCGCGATCGCCGCTCCCAACGCCGCTTGGCGGACGCACGCCGATCACGGTAAAAAGACGCGCCCCTTTTAAATTCAAACCGTTACACTGTCCTTTTGAGAGTAAAACTATCGCGAGTTGCTCTCGAGAGTATCTCTCGCGAGTGGACACTGCATCTGAGAGTGACTGTCTGAGAGCACCGCTCAACTCTCTGAGAGTTACGACTCGAATAAACGGTTACTTTGCAAACACGAAGCAGTTTCGTATTCTTGACAGAACTCGCGTGCGAGTAAAAAATGTCCAGAAAAAAAATTAGTAGAGGAATGACATCACCGATTTAATCACTCTCTATGAAGAAAAATCAGTGTTGTGGAATACGAAAGATAAGGTATAAAGGAGTGATTTTTATGCTTTTTCACCGTAAAATAAAAACGATTATTTTGGGACTTATTTAGTGTGATTTACCAGTATATTCACTATTTATGCGTGCATTGTATTGTGAATTTATAATAACACAAAGAAGTAAGGCACAAGGAGTTCCTATGTTTCACAAAGATACAAAAGTGCTGCGCTCACAAAGCGTTCATGATCGACTGTAGCAATTGTAAAATCTTCAATTAATACTTCCATGAAAACACATAGTCTACTTACCGTAATACTGCGAATTTAAAAAATAAAAGACCAAACTGCAGCTGGTAAAACAATGCACGTTATAGAAAAAGGGTATACAGGGTGTCTGTTTTATCTCAATACAGTGAAATATCTGTTAAAGAAGTGATGTTACGAAAAAAATGTTTTAACAAATGTTTTTTTGGTATGGAGGGGGGCGTTATGTGGTGTAACTATTTTTTTTTGTACCTGCTATGATGGGGAAGATTTCAAAATCAGTTTAATTTTTTTAAATGGAATGTTATATTTTTTTATACATAAAAAACTAGCTAACTAACTCGTCTTTGACGATGCACGCTGTACGCCGTAACGGCTATCGCGTAGGCGAAACAAAAGGACACGCATGAACGATTTGTTCATGATCAGTGTTTCATCTCCTGCCCTAATATAACAAGGGATACAGTTGGTATCGATACTGGTGGAAGCGATATGTATAATGAGGTCGTAAATTAAAGCATTAAGTAGCGACACCAATTGATCTAGCTACACGTAGGATCATGCTTTATTTGTGAATTGATATTTAAAATTTCTACTTACAATCTTTCATTTAAGTATACGGTATTAAGCTTTCGTCGCTTCTTGCCCAATATTAATTCCCGTATTGGTAAAAACTAACCTGCAGCTGTCAACGATTAAGACACAGATTTTAAATATACTACATGGAAGAAGCAAGTACAAGTTGACATCGAACTGCGTGACTGAGGTTCGAGCTTCTTATCTTCCACGAATTGCTGTTTTGGCGTTCCAATTAGGTATATCTTGACGTTTAACCCCTTAACATATGACAACGTGTCAGACTCGTGGCAAAGATTCTGGCGAAGATGTGAGAAAAATAGTTATATTAGTAAAAAAAACTAATTGTAATCTTAATTTTCGTTTGAATTTTTAAGACTGAGGATTGCTAAATGTAATTAATCTGTGACAGATTAGTTTTTGTTACCTGATACAGTACTAAAACAGAAAATGGCTGACGCTTAGATGCATAGTCAGAAAAGAAATCATAGGTTAAGGGGTTAACTGATTTTACGACCTCAATACATCAGTTCCACCGACTATACAGTCCTGTCGTTTGGGATGCTCCTCGATTCCTTTAGGACAGCGCTGTCCAAAGTTGGCTCTCGAGAGATAAATGCCGTCCCCACCATCGTCCACCGATACCATGGTACTGTGTAAAGCTCAAGAGTTTTTTAACACCTTTTTAGCACCTTTTTTAACACAATTATAAAAATAGAGCACGTGTACTGTCATTATTAACCGACGCTATAACATCGACGAATCGGATCGATTAAAATTACGTGTCGTGAGATTTGGGCTCTCGCCCTCGTGCCGCCCCGGGGGCAAACTCCTGAGCTCCTCACAGTCCATAGACGCAGCTGAAACGGTAATACGTCACGCGTGACGTCTGCTAAGCTTTTTTAATTACGAAAAAGCTAGCCTGTCATGGTCACCTCCTTAGCATCGCGCGGTTTCCTGGATAGCAGAGGCACGCTGTGTGAAAGAACGGTTCAAGGGTTAGCAGGGGCATGAGGAGTCCTTACGCTGGACCAGTACTGCCTTAAGCCGCTCCTGTTTTTCGAACCGCGCGCCCGTCGTGTCTCTCCTCGATCGACGACCACGGAATAGTGGGACAAACTGTTAATTTTAGTGTCAAAATCGTAGAACTCTTAGAAATAAGATGCAGGGATGAATCATTTTCGAGGTTAAAGGTAAAATGTTGCAGAATCAGGAAAAAATATAGAGAAAGTATCACAAACAAGTTTTGACCTTGAAAATCTATGTCCAATTTGACACTTTTGGAGAAAATTGCAGTTTTTTCAATAGAATGTGTGGTTGATTTAAGTGAAAAAAATCGATGAAAATGTACTTAAATCGCATGTTACTTAGAATCCTGAAGGACTAGACGAATTCTGCGGCCCGATTTGAATTCAGCATATCAAAATCTATAGGAAATGATGTATAACAAGTTAAGGAAAGGACAACACATTATAACAGAAAAACCGCAATTTTCGTCAAAAATGTCTAATTTGACATAGATTTTCAAGGTGGAAATTTGTTTGTGATACTTTGTCTATATTTTTCCCTTATTTTGCAACATCTCAACTTTAACCTTAAAAAAGATTCATCGCTCCATCTTATTTCTATCAAAAGTTCTACCGTTTCAACACAAAAATGGGCAGTTTATCCCACTGTGCGCAGCAGCGGGTTGTACGACGTCGAAGTCGATTGAGATTGCGACCTCGATCGTCGACTCCTGCTATCCATCAAAATATGTTCGTTGTAATCGAAGCGCTTATTGACCTTCCTCTATTGAACCATCAGAACTATCAGAGGTGTCGCCCTCCCTCCTCGCCTTTTTTTTCGTATTACGATGAGAATAGCGCATGCCCGCGAACGCCCATCGTGATTATTGTCTTTCTTCTTATTGATAAATACGCACTAAACACTCCGCATACCACTGAGTTCGGTTCCGTAGCACTGTTCCGACGCCTTTATCGTGACACGATAAAGTTATAAAAACTTCGCAGACGCGAAAGCACGTGGCTTATCCCACTTCTGATTTGTCAGGGACACTTCAAGCCGAAAATAGGGTGGATGCAAATTTGCTTCGGTATTGATAACTTTCATAAAACAAACTATATTTGCTACAAAAATATGGTTGCGTTGTATAAGTGTCATTCGCCAAGACACACGTCCGGTGATCTCGTAGAAACTAAGGCCGCGTCGTCCTGCACGATTTTTCACGCTGCCCAGGCGAAGCTGGTCTGTGAAAAACCCAGAGAGAATCACCCGCGCGGGTGAGCTGGGTCTGATCTCAAGTGGCACGCTTCGCAGGCCCTGAAAAAGATTTCTCTAACAGTAATTGTTATAACAATATGTATAATTAAAAGCAGTTTTAATAAGGTAACATTTAGACTCATTTTCATTAACAAAATCTCACAAATTAATAGTATTTTCAATATTCTCATAAAAAATATGAGAACGTAGCTTTTCATTAATGGATGATTCATCCCATGCGTGTGTTCTACTGTTGTCGAAAAATCGTTAACAATTCTACCCATGCAATTCAACATATGCATCTTTATTGCGGATTTAACAAGAGAGTATTTTTTACATCTGTCGACTTCACCATCTTTGATGGTTGAATTGAATATAAGTTCTGAACTCACTACTCTAAATCGTAGGGTCATAACAAAATCACTGATTTTTTACACGGTCGATATTTCAGAACGTAAAACACAAAGTCCCATAAAGTGATGATAAAGTTATTTTGCACCTCGTCTGTGCTGCTACGTCGGTATGTTATCGACGATAGTTATCCTACCAACGAATAGCTCACGTCACGCCTGCAGGGATGCGTCTAAAGAAAACAGCAGGAGATAACAACTTTACTATTTTTCTATACGAAAGGGAAGAACCATCGTGAAATTCGTGGTGCATAAGACAAGAAGGTGATCACGTCAAACACGAACATACGGACAGCGAGGAAAAAATAGTTTCTAATCTTTGTACACTCGTGCTCGTTACACGGGCCAGTTGGCTCTCGCCTAGTTATATTTTTTTTCTTTGTAAGAAGACCATAAGACGTAAGACCAAGAAGTTTCCTAACAAACAGTTGGTGTGTCCCCTAAAAGAGTGAAATCTGGCAATAAGTGATATTGATGTGATGTGATGTTTTTTTTCTTCTATTGAGCTAAATTCGATTACGAAGATGACTTCATCAGTAGTTCCAAAGGTATTTAAAAATTAAAGATTGTATAAAACATAGCTGAAACAAGGATAAAATGTTGTATAGAAATTTCTGTTTATTATTGCATACAATACTCAACAAAAATGGACACAACTAACATATCATTGATGATCACTTAACCCTTTGACATACAAAAAATTAAACTCGATGCGTTCAAAAAATATTATTTGATATATCTCAATTTAACAACTGTGTAAGCTGTACAAAAAACAAAATTTATATTGCTAAATATCATAAAACAATATTAATAAACAATATTAAAGCAACAAATTAAACAATAATTTAATAGTCCTGTAAAGTATGAAACTTTTCAAAACATTCTAATAAATGTAGAGATATTAGAAATTTTTTACATTGCCAAGTTGTTTCACTTCTTATATTACTTTTTGAGCACACGTGACATTTCTTTTCAGGATGTTACTTTGGGATTATTATTTCTAATGTTCACACTGAAAATATGTAATTGTATTTCTGCCATATTTGTTTTATAGGCACATTAAAAGTAACTTTAATCGGTGTAAACTTCTTGACATCTCAAAGATCACAATGACATTTACAATGACATAATAAACAAATGATGTATCCCAGATATCTTTACCAGGCAAGAGGTTTATATCCTAAAGATACACTTAACTATTTTCAAAAATTTGCTAAAAATATTCGTTTATTTTCGTTTATGTATAATATACATGTATTAAAAGACAAATTTGTAGTAAATTTTTAACTC